ATATATATATATATATATTAATTCCAACAAATTCGTGTAAGCTTTGAAATCGCCTCGCGTTAATTAATTTCACGTGCGATTACATACGTGATTACGTACGTAAAAGTGTGTTGAAAAATGCCGATATACCTTTTATGGACACACGCATCGCGAGAGAAATAGTTAGCGCGCCGACATTCCGGTTTCATTTCATTTTCAGCTTTTAAGGCCGCATTATAACATGCTGTTGAGAACGGAGGTGCTGTTTAAAAAATAAAAAAGCAAATTTACATAGTTACGACCGCAGAGTCGGCAGGACGGAAATGGTCCCTTACTGCCGCCGTAATGAAATTGGAACGGGTAAACGTGAGGAGAGAGGAAGAATTCCGCGATCGCGTTTGCAAAACTAATTCCAGGCGGAAACAAGCAAAACGGCCTCGCCCGTATTGTTCTCGCAAAAAAGAATTAATTAACTTCTGTACGCGAATTTTGCAGTACTTCCGTATATGATCAATGTGGAAAAAGCGTTATTGTACGGTACCGTGAGCTTTATAAAAAGTTTATAAAATGAAATTTTCATTTCCTCAGTGAACTTATTATAAGCGGAAACGTGCCACGCACAATATATCATTTAGTCGTATAAAAAATACTTTTTTTACTTTAAATGAAAACTACGGTAATTTTATTTTTTACCTTTTTAACCACTTTAATATTTTTAATATTAAATATCAGGCGGATAAGCCATTTAAATAAAGTGAAGCAAGGTTGGCTTGACATTAACTATTAATATTAGAAAATAAATTTTGATTTTGTTTTAGTAATATCTTGTCGTTTATCATCAAGATTTCAAGATGTATATTTAAAGATGTATATTTAACATTCGAGAGTTTCAGACTGCTTTATGCAATCTAATTATCACATTTGTTTAATTTCATCGTCATGCATTTCAACATTTGTCACTTTAATTTAATTCAAATTCATTCAATAGCTCTCTCTCTCTCTGCGATTGATAATTTTGAGAACACTCACGTCCGTTACGCAATAAGCAATATATGTGCGATTATTTTAATAAGTTGAGTTGAAAAAACGTTATCATTCCACGAGCTGACAACCACCAGCTGGATTCTAGCTTAGAAATTATAGTTTAATTTAATTAGAAGTTATGAGAGAGAGAGAGAGAGAGAGAGAAAGAGAGAAA